CTCTTGTCAGTTCCATGCACTTTTCATTCTCTTGTCTGTTCCTGGCCCCTTCTTCTTGTATAAAAGTTCTTCTCCCCTGCAAGAAAACAACCAGAGCGGAGAATCGGAGAGGAGGGGGAGTCTCTTCCCAGTCTTATGTACCCAGTCTTCTCAATAAGAAAAGAGAGAGAGGAGCACTCTTGTCCAGCTTCCCTCCTACTGTGTCTTCCTCTCTCGCTGACTGAGAAAAGACAAGATCAAGGACAGCGCAGGGGTTTTTTCGTTTATCTATCCCTTTGAATCTCCTCAAAAAAAGGAACAGAAGACATAGGAGCGTAGGAGAGAAAGAAGGCAAACGGGAGCGAACACGGGAAATCAACCCTGCTCCACGGGGAGAGGGAGCCCCCTTTCTGCAACGGACAAAACAAAGCTTCTTGTTTTCACTCTCTTTCCCTCGGTTTTTGTCAAAAAGAGAAGAGAGAAGCACTCTTGTCAGCTCCTTGCACTTTCTCTCTGGTGTCTGTTCCTGGTTCCTCTTCTTATATAAACGTTCCTCTCCTCTGCAAGATAAGAGCCAAAGCAGAGATTCAGGGGAGTCTCTTCTCAGTCTTATGTGCCCAGTCATCTCAATAAGAAAAGAGAGAGAAGCACTCTTGCCCATGCGTTGTTGTTTCCCTTCTACTGTCCTCTCTCGCAGAGTGCAGACTGAGAAAAGACAAGATTAATTCAGGACAGCCAAAGGGGACAGGGAAACCTTATTTGTCCTCTTTAGTAGCTTAGCACTTCCCTTGAATACCTACAATCGACAAAATTGGAGACATAGGAACAAGGGACAGAAAGAAAACAAAAGAGATTGTATAAGTGAACTCAGCCGCTGCAGGGGAGGAGGTCCCTTCTTGCAACGAACGTGGCGATTTTGCGAAAGGCTGAAAGTTAATGTTCTACCTGCTTTAGTCGGGGCCCCTCTACTAAGTCATTTTGGCTGGGCTATTCAAGTGGCTGGCCTGCAACCCAACCATTTGGTCTCTGACACTGCTCCTGCCTGTCCGAAACGTGTTGCCTTGCCTTTTGCTTGCGGCCTCTTTGCTGCCGTTGCATTTCGACCCACAGTGTGCCATTGTGCGAAGCTGCACGCCCGCTCTCCCATCAGAAATCGCGCGAGTCGCATAGATGAGCTTGAAAAGAAAACCCTAGACACTTCACCGTAAACCCTACACGTGAAACCCTAAATGCTCCACAAGGGGCGGGTCCCTATAGGGTTTCAGGTTTGTAGTCCCCACACCTTGAAGCCTTATAGGGTTTATTGTTCAACCATGAACCCCAGACCTTTCAGATTCACCGTGTATTTAACAACAAGAATGTTTCACAGTAATTTTCATTCGAGCACCTGGGTATATCGTTGTTATTCCGTTTTGCGGGGCGTTCGCGTGCACGGGGCATGAACGGGCATGAACTCGCATGCACGGGCATGAATTCAAAAAATGAAGTATCTGCTCACAGTATTCTCGTGATACCATGTCCGAATGTTTCATAATCTTTTTAAAAAACAACCTATCCCAAGAATAGGTTCCCACGGCGTCCTCTCCCCTAGAGCTTAGGGGTAGGTCTTTGGGGTTCAGTGCGAAAGAAACACACGGTGTAGTCTCTCTGTTTCGCCTCTAGGGAGGTAGGTAGGCTCTTGTTTTATTATATTTCTTGTTTTTCGGGCTTAAGGTTTAGGGTTAGGGTTTAGTGTTGGGGTTTTGAAGCAGTCTTCAGAGGAGCGTGATGGCCCTATTCGATAACTCTGTTAATCGTAGCAGTAGTATAGGCTAGTATGAAAACAAAGAAAGAGGTCAAATCATACATAAAGGTTCCTGCCTCACCCATATATACCCCTTATATACCCTTTTCAAAGGGCGCATACATCAGAACCCTTTAAAGCGGGCTTCGGGTTGGCGTCTTAATTCGGGTTTCTAACAGGGCCTTACAAGGGCTTGTCTAGGTGCTTCTAAGGACATATATAGGGTTTCTGGGCCTACAAGGGCTTCTCTAGGTGCCTCTAAGGGCACATAGGGCTTCTCGGCCTTTTAGGGTTAAGTTGGGCTGGTGTTGTGGCTTATCCTGGGCACAGCTGCCATGCTAGCAAGCACAGCGGCCATGTTCACCCCGAAACTGTGCAGTTCGGGCTCGCGGCTCGTGTCCCGGCAGTCCGGTCTCTAGCAGACTCTGTCCCTGGCTTCCTAAGTTCGTAGTCTCTGTAACCCTAAACCCTAAACCCTAAACCCTAAACCCTAAACCCTAAACCCTAAACCCTAAACCCTGAACCCACAACTCCTAGAGTCCAACATCCCGAAACATGCCCAGCATCTCGGAAGTTTCCTAAAATTACAACGGGGGGGCCGAGACCAGCAAAAGCACTCCTAACCACTTACGCGTTTTAGGGTTTAGGGTTTAGGGTTTAGGGTTTAGGGTTTAGGGTTACTAGGCCCAGGAGTAACCTGGGAATGATTAAAAAGAGTACCCTTTTTGGGTGTTAAGGGGATTATAAGGGAACACCAACCTACTGAAAAGGAAATAAGGGCCTACTCCGGGTCCTAGATTACGTAGTGTTCTCATCCAGCCCCCGAAAGGATATC